AGAATACAAGCAAGAAGAAACATGTCCATATAAAATGAATGGAACACTCTCCGTAAATACATGCATTATCATTAAAATGAGAAGATCTCCTGTTTCATATTATCTTATCTCTCAGATTCTCTAGAATCAAATAAAAAAAATCAATTTGCAGATTATTTACCAAAATCATTAATATCTCAACACGTATTACCATTTATTTACCAATACCCATTGACCCTATAAATGACAACAATTGGTCAAAGTTAAAAAAAACTCACCATTGACTCAAAATACAAAGAAAATGGCTCCTACATTCTCTTCAGTACTCTTGTGTCTCTGTTTACTCTCTTCACCATTTCTCTCAAACGCAAACGCCCATAAAAAAATCGGTTTCACCGCGGATCTAATCCATCGCGATTCTCCTAAATCGCCTTTCTACAACCCGACCGTGACCCCTTCCCAGCGTCTAAGAAACGCTATCAACCGATCCGTTAACCGTGTTATCCATTTCACAAATCTCTATGGCCAAGATGCATCTGTTAACTCACCGCAAACCGAGATCACCTCGAATAGCGGTGAATATCTAATGAATGTGTCCCTCGGGACACCTCCATTCCCGATCATGGCGATTGCTGACACGGGCAGCGATCTCTTGTGGACGCAGTGCAAACCCTGTGATGATTGCTACGCTCAAGAAGATCCTCTCTTTGACCCTAAAGCGTCTTCAACATACAAAGACCTTTCTTGCTCCTCAAGTCAATGTGATGCCCTTGTTAGAGAAGCTTCTTGTTCCACTGACAACACTTGCTCCTACACCATGTCTTACGGGGATCGGTCATACACCAAGGGTAACGTCGCCGCCGATACATTAACGCTCGGCTCCACCAATAGCCGCCCCATGCAGCTTAAGAATTTGATCATCGGATGTGGCCACAGCAACGCTGGAACATTTAATAAGAAGGGCTCCGGAATCGTTGGACTTGGTGGCGGTGCGGTTTCGCTAGTTTCGCAACTCGGGGACTCAATCGACGGTAAATTCTCCTACTGTTTGGTCCCTATATCATCTAAAACCGATAGAACGAGCAAGATCAACTTCGGAACCAATGCGGCCGTGTCGGGAACGGGAGTTGTCTCAACTCCTTTGATCAAGAAATCTCCAGATACCTACTATTACCTAACCCTAGAATCCATTAGCGTGGGAAGCAAGAAAATTCAATTCCCAGGGTCAGATTCTGGAACCAACGAGGGAAACATCATCATCGATTCAGGCACAACTCTTACGTTGTTGCCCACCGAGTTTTACTCCGAGCTCGAGGAAGAGGTTGCGTCCCAAATCGATGTTGAGAGGCAAGAAGATCCACAGAGAGTTCTGAGTTTGTGTTACAGCGCAACCGCGGATTTGAAAGTTCCAGTCATTACTATGCATTTTGATGGAGCAGATGTGAAGCTCGACTCTTCAAATGCCTTTGTACAACTCTCAGAGGATTTGGTTTGCTTTGCTTTCCGTGGGAACCAAGACTTATCCATTTACGGGAACTTGTCACAGATGAACTTTCTTGTTGGATACGACACCGTTTCTCAAAAGGTCTCGTTTAAGCCGGCGGATTGTGCAAAGATGTAGATTGGCATTCCCTCCTTTTCAATTCATGTTTTCGTTATAATAATGGCTGATTTCATTTTAGCCTAATTAAATCTTTGTTGGTGTTCTTTGTTTGGTTTAATGCATTAATGACAGACAAAATTGTTTGTTGTGGAGTCGTATGTGCATGTAGTTGTTAAT